CCCTCTTTCGGTTATTTGGAAAAATCTCACAGATTTCTAGAAGCTTTATGCAGTTTTCGACATCAATAAATGGAAGCAAGTCATCTTCCCCTTCCCCTACCGAGCCAGTTGGTCTACACTGGTAGCCATCAGGTTTCTAGATGTACTAACATCTAATAATTTCAAAGCTAGTTAGAAAAAACTGTTTAGCTATTTTGAGTAATTGCCTAGAGAAAACAAAAATAATTTTCCGAAGAAAATTCTCCATAAAATCTTGAAAATCTTTGACAACACTTAATCCGAAATCGTGAAAAAATAAAACTCACGTCTACAAAATGAGCTTTTTCAACAAGAAACCGTCTCATCTTGTGCACTACGCTGGATCGCATTCTTAGAGCTCTGAAAGGAGATTTCATAAGCATTCAGTGCCATATTTTCATTATGTTTCTATTATTATTAGGTATTTTTAGAAAAGGTAATGATCCAACTAGTCCACGTATAATGGGCGGCGTTTAATAAGGATAAGAGCTGTCTGGAGGAGACGCTATTGATAAAAGGGGACTTTTTCTTAAGTGATTCGCTCAAGCTGCGAAAAAGTGCTAATGCCTAAGCTCCAAAGTACTCATCTTCCTCTAATGGGCGATAAAACAGACGTGGAATGAGCTACTACCGCTAGTATTATGTCTCCAATCAGAATAGTAAAACGACAGATCCTTCTTCCGGCTCCACTCTCTTTCAAACTAACACCTTCTTATTCCTCCGCTGTCCCAACAAGGTTCATATTCGTATAATCTTTTACCTTTGCATACGCTCAGTGCGCATGTCAATATATCGGTAAGTGAGACGTGTCCTCTCACTAGCCTCTGCATCTGGTAACATAGGTAGATTAGGTGAGGCTCGGTTCAGCACTTTCAGATCAGAGACATCAATCTGAAGGTATTATTATTGATGGATTGCATGGTTGCAAAAGCTGGCAAACCTCGACTTCACCCGTTTTCATATGGAAGTTTTTGTTCTCTCCACGATCAATAACAGAACCCTCAATTTGCACAATAGATTCATAAGGCAAATCTTTGACGACATTGGCAAACTTTGATTTTGGAGCAATTGTA